GTTGTTGATCAACGAGACGTGAAACATGGAGATTCAAGAAGCTGGTCACCGCTAGAGTTGGATGCCTACAAAGGCCCGAGACAGCCAGTCGAACTTCCTGCTGGATATATGTACAACAAGCATTGATGTGCCAGATACTATGATTTAATCGAGGACACGATTCATGATACTCCGCCATTTTGTTCACTTTCCGATCTGAGCGCAGGTATGTTGCTTGAGGCGCTTGGTGCTTGTACCAGCATACTTTGGGGTCCGGACACCTAAAATGCACGACACCCAGACTTGCGCTGCTGTACAGGTCGCGTTGCTTCGAGTATCAAAGATGTCTTTATTCTGAGATGCTTTATTAGTACCTACCTTACATACCTAGGTACCTTATAAGCAAGTAAAGGGCCCACAGCTGTTGTCATAAGCCCAGCCGCGGTGAGTGATGCCGTCAGGCCTTGCTACTTGCTAGGGATGCCCAGGTGGGGCCAGGTCGGTGAGGAAGGTGCTGCCAACGGGGGTTCCCACAGCAACGACGAGCCAGATCGGGAAATCAACAGCAGCAATATTGTACCACACGCCCTCAACTACCCGTCCACATTATTATAGACCTCTTCCCCCAACTCCCACTGTCGGAAGGCTCTTTCGTGCCCCGGATCCGACAATCACGCCAACCCCATTCTCCTCGGGCGATAACATCATTTAGTCGAGTCGTCAATCTGGAGTGCATCTGTATTCTATACACATGCCCTGCTCAACGAGGTAGGCCACCCCGGTTGGCAGTCACGACGCTGCAACCTGCGAAAGCGTGCTGGTGCTGATCACGCGACACCCCATTGCAGAGGACTCCTACCGCATACCATCCCAGGACGACATTAACCGCAGGCTCGTCCTGACCCGCGACGAAAACAGTGCGTCAGCACATGATGGCCCATAGATTAATGGCCAAAGGAGGACCCGAGATGGAAGCTTTGTCGCCTAGGGATGCGAACGCCGGCCGTCAAATGATGAAGACAACCGAACTGAAGGCCAACCCGGTTCCCAACCCGGTGGCAAAGCTCAAGGCAGCACAGGGGAAAGACCATCCTCCGCCACCGCCCGACACCGTCGTTGAGCCGCCCAGCTCTGACCGCCCCGATGGCGCCGTCTACCAGGTTGGCAAGTTGCTCGGCAAGGGAGGCTTCGCCATCTGCCATCAGGGCTACTTGATGCCCGAAAAGAAGAAGTATGCCCTGAAGATTGTGAAGAGCCAGATGCCGAGCAAGATGCAGACGAAGGTCCGTAACGTCGCTCCTCCCTCGCGTGGGCACCTCACTGACCAGTGTTTGTAGTTCCAAACCGAGTTGCAGATCCACTCCAAGATGAAGCATAGAAACATCGTTCAGTTCCTGAGGGCCTTCTCCTTCAACGACTGCACCTTTCTCGTTCTCGAACTCTGTCCCTACGGCTCACTCATGGAGATGGTCAAGAAGCGAAAAGGCCTGACTGAACCTGAAGTTCGCTTCTACTCAATTCAGATTGCCGGCGCTATCAAATACATGCACAGCAAGGGCATCATCCACCGCGACCTCAAGATGGGAAACATCTTCCTCGACCGCAACATGAACACGAAGGTTGGCGACTTTGGGCTGGCTGCGCTTCTTGTCACGGGCAAGGACATGCACACCATCCGACGCACCACGCTGTGCGGCACTCCGAACTACATTGCGCCCGAGATCTTGGAGAAGGGAAAGAAGGGACATGACCACATGGTTGATATATGGAGTCTGGGTATCATCATGCAAGTCCTTCTATCAACGTTCCTAGGATGACGCACATTGCTAACAGAGTACAGGTTCGCCATGCTCACCTCGAAACCTCCCTTTCAGTCGACAAGCACAGATGAAATCTATCGCAGAGCGCGAGAGCGCGACTACGAATGGCCGACGATGGAGACAGCAGGCAAGCTCATCAGCTCCGAGGCTAAGGATATTGTCGCCACCATGCTCGAGGATGCAGACAGAAGACCTGAGCCTGACAGCATCGTTCAACACCCGTTCTTCAGCTGTGGTTATCTGCCTGTCGAGGCCGAAATGACTTCGAAACTCCTCACATTGCCCCCGGATGCGCCTCACTTTTATGGCAGCCGCATGAGTACCGTGCTCCAAGCCTCAACAATGAGGCATCTCAAAGACATGTGCAGAGAGTGCGACGTCGGACCCTACGCTCGCCAGCAGGCCATTCATACACAAACTTGGAAGGAGATGGCGGCGGAGGAGAAGTCGGGTCTAACTCCGATGATTCCTCTAGCAGCACACATCGTGTATCGACCCTTTGACGAATGGCTCAAGGAGCAAAAGTCGTACAAGGCTGGCCTCCTGAGTCACTCAATGGCGCGGGCTGAGAGCAAGGCCGATGCCCAACTCCCTCTTTCCCAGACTGCCCCAACCGGACTGCTACGCGCACCGCCGCAAAGCTTTGCAGCGCAGCAAAGAGCCCAGGGCCGCCCTACCACAACGACTGCTGCGATCAGGGCCAAGGCACAAGCCGAAACTCTGTCCGACACGGCCCCGTCCCTTCGCCCAAGGACTGTAAGACAGTATACAGCGTCCGATACTGAAACAGACACGGCACCACCCATCAGACAACCCCAACAACCTCCTCAGAAGCCGACGACAAGCTTGCGAAGAGCACTGCCTAAGACCCAGTCTGCCTCAGCTATTCCCACGCAGTCAAGTTCGACTCGCAGCAGCTCACCAACATCGAACCAGAGTGACGCATCAAAAGAAAACAATTACTCGACGCTCTTCAGTGCCTCGGAGCAGACAACGCCAGTGCTCGGTACTCAGCCGGATGCCATCCTGGAGCGTCTCCAACGTCTTCAGACTGAGCTTGAACGTGCACTGAATGCGCGCACCATGGCGATCATCTCAGCCAAAGAGAAGGCACCCCCTCGACCAAAAGTTGTGACCCGTTGGGTGGATTACACAAACAAGTTCGGCCTTGGGTACATCCTCGATGATGGGGGTATTGGTTGCATTTTGCGAGACATTCCGACAACAGAGAACGGCAAGACCAGCATGCTGCCCCCAGCTTGCATGCTCATTCGCAACGCGGAAGAGCACAGCAAGCGCGACCAGGACCTTAGCTACACCGACAGACACCAGCCAGTTCCGCCGCGAGAAGACGTCCACTTCTACGAAAACAATGGCGAGGCGGGTCTGAAATGGTACGGCGTTCCTGCTCGGCAATTCCGTGTTCCCGTTGATGAACGGGGTGTTGCGGGCAAGATGCCTCCTGGCCGGGACGTTTATGAACACAGGAAAAGAGAGAGGGTGATTCTCTGGAAGAAATTTGCGAATTACATGATTGCGTACGGCAGGGATGAATTCGGTCCGGGGCATGACAACACGGCAGACCTCTTTGGTTCTCAAGATCCCTCGTCGACTCAACCCACTGATCTGGTGATTTTCTACCAGAGACTTGGCGATGTTGGTTGCTGGGTCTTCTGCGACGGTCATCTCCAGTTTAACTTCCCCGATCACACAAAGCTCGTCATCAACGCGGCCGGTACATGGTGTCACTTCTGGCACCTCCCACAGGATGCTGCCGAAAGCCTGGCGAAGACTGGCACTCTTGACCCGAAGAGTCTTGATGAGCGTAGTACTCTCTCGTACCCTCTGCAGACGCTGCTGAACTTCCAAACCAAGCCATCGGCACGCACCACGACTACGACTCGTCGCCGTCCTGAGATTCCGGCCGACTTGCAGGGCATCCCTGCGGCCAACGATTTCCGCCGCAAGATCCATTTCATCAAGGACGTTGTCAAGGAGTGGGTGAGCCACGGTGGACTGGGCAACAGCAGCATGGACCGTGAGAACAGGCTGATGTGGGCTGGTCACCGCGAGACGGTGAATGTCAAGATTCCGACCAAGATGACTTGGGTGACGATTGGAGCTCGATGGGGCGATGACAGGCTGTCCGCCTACGTGGACCCGCGTAACCCTACGGTGCTGGGCGAAGAAATTGACGAGCCTAAGAGGTTCGCTCGCAGCCACAGCAGCTGAATTACGACTTGATGACCTGGCGTTGATCTCACCCGTGGTAGGCTGAGACGTGGATCGTTGGTTTTCTTCCTTTCTTTCACACCTGTTCCTACTTAGGCAGATGAGGTGCGCAACAATGGTCATGTTGAGCGGACCTTTCCTCTCTTCCAGGCTGGAAGGCTCCAACTGGCTGAATGAACATGCACATCTGGGGAGTTTGGCGGGCAGGCCGGGAACCGTGACATATTCTTTTTAGTGGGCAATGGCATCAGGCCTCGTGCATGCTGTTCTGAGCTGAGATTTTTGGGAATGCATCTTGTTCGTCCACTTGCTCTTGATGTTTCTGCTCGGTGATGCAAGCGTGCCTACTGGACTTGCTGATGGCGTGACTAGCCAACTGCCGGGGTGGGTGGCGTGTGAACGTGTATGCAGCTTGCGAGACTATCGCAGCAAGCCCCTCCGTAGGAGCCGGCTTTGCAATGCTGCCGTGACAAGGCATCTTCCTGACATGCAAGACATCACCGCAACGACAAATGGCATGCAGCTCTTGCTTGTGCTGTGTACCTGACAGCAGCGACTGTCCAAGAATGGACTTCAGGCCAGCAGCTCCGAGTGCAAAAGAGCAAAACAAAGAATAGCGTGAAGCCTTTGCCTTAGCAGACGGAGAAGTACAGCATGAGCTTACATGGAAGGGAAAAAATAAAATGAAATCCGATAGCAACTGGACGTTTCGATCGTCCGACCTCCGGGTTATGAGCCCGGCGCGCTTCCGCTGCGCCAAGTTGCTTTTATTGGATGACTTGGGCCACGAGTGTGGAGACTATATCGACAGTCTGCTCACGAATGCCATGTACGCAGATATACCCCAAACCTGGCCTTGCACTGGTTACACGCTACAACTGGGATTTCCTGGCAGGTTGCCAGGCAGGATGTCAGGACAATTCGGTGCGGCAGGTTCAACAACACGATGCATCCGTCACAGACAAGTCGTTCATAGCAAATTCACCAGCCCATCCGGGACCGGTCATTATTATATCCTCGTATGTACAGATCCCAGGCATAGTCGCCGAGTCCACCACCATTTCATTGCCGCGTCCTGTATCAATGCACTCGGGGGTGAAAAACGAAGTTCACCTCTTCTCTCATACCGTGAGATCACGCCGAGCATGGAAATGAGAAACGCAACCGGGGGCGAAAGAGAGGGGGGGTGTACATGGTAACAACGCTGACGCGCGCCCCGTGTACACCATGCAAAGCAAATTTCGTAGAATAACCACCGCTCAACAGAAGCACGCCCAATGGTGACAGTGGGAGCGCATCACTTCGGTGCTTGCGTGCGTCGTTGGTCAAGTAACCATGGCGGATTAGGATGCCCCAAAAGTCATGGTATTGAAATGGGTGCCATCGGAATAGGCCAACATGCTGAATGATACCGAATATCCAAGATTCACCATGTCTGATGAAGTGAGGTGGAGGTGGTTGTCGTTCCGGCCCGGAGGAGATGAGGGGAAAAAGGAAAGCCTCGGTCATTAATGCAAGTGGGATGTTGTGGTCCAGAAACGCCAATGTCGTGTCGCCGGTCGTTCTCTGCTCCTCAATTACATGAGAATGCAGTCCTTGTCGTCGCCCTTCTTGGCCTTGCCGTTGCGTGGCGGCGCAACCTCCATAGGTGTTCCGCCGCTGACGGCAGCCTGAATAATGGCAATCCTCTGCCTTGCGCGGTCGTCTCCAGAGTCAGCTGCCTTGACGTACCACACGTTGGCCTCCAAGATGTCGCGCCGGCATCCGATGCCCATCTCTGTGAAGTACCCGACGGCATACTGCGCCTTGACGAAGCCTTTTGTGGACCGTCAGTACGAAAATCAGACAAGTTTCGGGGCAGGTGACTTACCAAGCTCCGCAGATCGCCTGGCCCACTCGTAGGCTTCTTCTTCATCCTTCTCGAGGATAGGCTCTGCACCGACCATGTACCACGCACACAGTCCCATCATGGCGGCCGCGTGGCCCTTCTCAGCCGCGCCAGTGTAAAAGTGCACACTGAGGGCAGGGTCCCTCGGACATCCGAGCTTGCCATGTTCATATGCTTCCCCCATACGGAAGTTAGCTTCGGGATGTCCAAGTTCAGCAGCTTGCGTGAACAGCTCGGCAGCGTAGTTTTCGTCCTTGAAGACATCGTCCCCGTAGCCCGTCTCGTACAAGCACGCCAACTGATATGGTGCCGAATTGTAGATGGAGTCCGCGGCTTCCGCCGCCAGTTTCATCCACTTGATGCCTTCGCGGTAGCGCTTCTCTCCGAGGTCACCCACGAGGCATGCCTTGCCTAACCTCGTCATGGCACCGGGATGTCTCTTTGACGCGGCGATACGAAGGAACTGGACAGCTTTCGCCGGGTCCTTGCGACACCCCCAACCGAATTCGTAGCACAGAGCACTTCGGTATCCGGACTCGGCGTGGCCATGCTTGGCAGCAATCACAAATAGGGGGAAAGCCTGGCTGTAATCTTCCTTGCCCTTGCTGAAGAGACCAGACGCATAGCCATCGGCAAGGTAGTATTGCGCAAACGGATATCCAGCGCTCGATAGCTTTTGGAGGATCTGCTTGGCCTCTTTCACCAGCTCCTGCGGAGATCCCTTGATCTGGTCGTCTCCCTTCTTCCTTGCAGGCTCTTCCCAATCAAGCCCTTGCTCCTGGGCCGTGGAGATGAGGAAAACAGCAAAGGAGTATTGGATGGAGAGATCGGTTGTCTTCTTAACATTTTGACGATACATCTCCAAGGTTTTCTCGGCGCTGAGAAGAGAAGCGTTGTTACCGACAGCATTCCGTAGCCTGTTGTTGTCAAAGCTAATGGGAGCCGGGGCCTGTTGAGGGTAGGGCACGTTCAGAAGCTCGGCGTAGGAAGACGGCCTGACATCGGGGGAACGCCTCGACTGAGCAGACGACACTCGGTTACCAGGCATCAAGCCAGGCGAGCGGCTGCGGGCACCAAAGTCGGAGTAGGTTGAGTAGACAGACGGGGGCCGCTGAAGCGGGCCGCGCTGAGCAAAACCGCTCGAGCTGGGGGTCAGGCGTCGGTTGATGCCGGCACCCGCGGCCAGATCGGGGTTGGAGGCTGACCTGCCATCTGGCATGTTGGGTGCGCTCGCCACCCGCTCAGGAGGATACTGGTCTTGGTGATGGTATTGGAACAGCGGTACGGACTGGTTTCGGGGCATGTGGCCCTCAATGAGAGAGCTCTCTGCCGATCCATTGTCGCGGCACTCGGAATTCTCGTTGATGCCAGAAATCGAGCTTGCACTGGTCGATGCCGAGGACTCCTTGGAGACGTGTTGTCGCCTTGTGCTTGTAGTGCCATCAGATTCACGGCTGTTGCGATTGTCGTCCTGCAATGTCGTATCATTTGCCGTGATCCCACTGATGTCTTCGGGTGCGGGGTTTGTGTAGTTGCTGTTCGTAGAGAAACCAAGGTCGAAGTCTCCTAGCGAGCCGCTGCCCATGGGACTTCCTAGCTGGGGTGCGTGTCGGCTGGATACAGTCGATGCTGGCGAAAGCGGCTGACGGTCGTGGTCTCGCGGGCGAGAGCTCTGACTGTAATGACTGGTCGGCGATTGGAGCACTGGGCTGTGTGGTGGCAGGTGGGGGTTGGTAGGCGACTGAGGTTGACTTCGCTGCCGCGTGCGGTCTGCGACCACAAACTCTGCGGTGGCGCCATGCACCTGCTCGATATTGGCATTGGAGTGAACCCAGTTGTCGGCCTGGAAATTGACTCTCACGGGAGAGACGGGAGCGTCCCGAATACGTGGAGAGGTGGGTCCAGGTTTAACATCGACTCCCAGTCTTTCATGGGAATGAGGGGCCCGCGGCAGTAGCTTGTGTGTATTGGGGCTTGTCGGCTCCGGAGGGGGGGAGGTTACAGTGGCGGCCATGATGGCCAGGGTATGTGGTAACGTCTTTGATGGATAGAGTTCGTTGCGGCTGCTTGTTCAACGGCGAGGCAAGACAACACGGAAGGGCAGTCGTGGAGTGAACGAGGCCAACTGCTATTGCTCGGACGTCTCGACGAGCATTGATGCAGGCAGATTTCTCCGAGGTTCGGTCGCGGTACGAGAGATCGCAAGACGGTAGGTAGGATGCGCCCGCAAGCTTGCCGAGTCGATCGCAGCAGAAACGAGCGGAATGCTGTGCAACGAAGGTTTGCAGCCGTGTGAGCCGCGCGGTCGCTAAGGCTGATCGGGAGGGGGGTATTAAGAACTAGATACAGGATAGAGCAGTTAGTCGTGGCTGTACTGGCGAAGTGTGCACAGTCAATGATTGCAACAGCGAGGAAATTGATCGAGGTAAGGTAGGCGGTTGGGCGGTGGGTACGAAGACGAGGAGGTTCTGCTGGGGGTTTTGGAGGCCCAGTCGTATCCTGCCCTAGGAAACCGGCTGCTTGGCGCCATGCATGCTCGACTCCAGCAATGCGTGTGGTGGTGCAGATGGACGTGCAGGCTGGGCGGCGAGCGTTTTATGTAAGGCGTTCCTGGGGCTGGATGGAGCAGTGGCCCAGTCAAATGAACTCGAATGACACTGTCTTCTCTTCGCTTCAGGAACAGAGACGGACCAGAGCGGGCAGGCTGGCAGGATAGTGTTCAGCCCATGGCACCGAAGAAGCCGTCCAGTGCCTCTGGCAGCGGTGGGCGCTGTCAGTGCGGGAAGGCAGCAGCAGCCACCTAGGCTGCTAGACCACCCAGCGACCCGGCCATGGGGTGAATTTCGCCTGAGCTGAACACTGCTGCTCCCGGGCTGACTCTTCAGAACCTCGCACGACAGCAGGCAGGCGCGGCACCCGCGGAGCTTTGCATACCTAGGCCGGTAACTGCCTACCTACCTACCTCTACCTAAGGTAGGCGAAGGTAGCAGGCAAGGCAAGGCGGCCCCAATCCATGGCTCGGAGTCTGTATTTCGCTCCGAACCTGAGCTGTCCCATCAAAAGCCTCAGAGGAGGACCCCGACGGTGACACGACGCACTGCGAGCTTTCGCGATTGCGCCGTGTACCCGAAGCGTAATCATTGGAGACAGCTTGATCGATGATGGAAGGAAAGAAAAATAGCTTCAGACTCGACATAACAACTGACCTAGGATGTCGTAGATGTGTGCTCGTGAAATGACACGCCACTTGAGGGCGATGCGATGCAGGACGATGCGGTGCCACAGGGAAAGCAACGAGTGATGTTGAAAGATGCAGATGCAGACGCTGAACCGGCTGGAGATCGTCGGTCGCCTTGGTAAGGAACTTGAGTAAGGGAGTCGGGGGTCCGCGAAACGAGTAAAGTTGTCGAACCGAAAAGGGCGAAGGGGGGTGTCGCGATGTGACGAGCCCCAGGCTGCAATTAAGGGTTAACGAAAGGGCGGTCGATCACTCTTCGGAGCCGACCCAGCTTGGATGGCAGTGGGACAATTGGGAAACAAGATGAGAGAAGGTAAAAAGGTAAGCGAAATGCCCTGCGTAGCGTGGCGTGGCTGGAGACAAGATATGCGAATGACTGAATCGAGCCACGGTCGAAATCCTTCTCGTGGGACCGACCTGCCCGCCATCCACCCGCGGGCACTTGAACCCTTGGACACTTGGGCACTCGAACACGACAGGATGGATGAAGATGTGCTCGACCAGGATAAATGACGTACCAGATGTGCTTTTCGTCGTATAGGGACTACGATGGCGCGCTTCCAACCGTGACAGAGCACTGGCTCGGCTTCCAGATACGGTGAGGGTAGTGAGGGGCAGGGGGAAGGGGAGCCGAGTGGATGGATGTCACCTCGTGTCCCCTGATCACGATTCGATGGAAACACACAAAAAAAAAAAGCCTGGAATAGGACGGGCTACTGCGCGCTCTGGGAATGATGGATGATGGGCTTTGGGTGCCTCAGGGTGGGGACTGTCGTTTCATGCACGTTGGCGACGGGAAGGGGGCCGGGCTCGGATTTCTGATGGAACACCTGCCAACCTACCTACCTAGCTGCTTTGGCTTATTCTTATTATTATGAACAGGCTGGGCCTCGGAGAAAGCACCTGGCCCTCTATTCGTTGCTTTCCCCTGTGTGTTCATTTTATCAGCCGCATAGCAGTCCTTGTCTTGCGCCAACACCATATGGTCCTCACCGACGACCCTTAATGCTGTGCCTAGAGGTCGCTAAAGGAGGGGATGGGGGGGCGCAGAGATCGGAAATGGGACATGGGTTACGGGGAATACTCCGTTTCATGTCTGACATGAGAGGAGGCCGGACCCTGTACCAGTGGCGTACCGGTACCTCCAGTCCCTCGTTCCTGGCAGCCAGTGTCTGGTCTCCTCACAACGAGAGAGGCACAGAACTGTCATTCGCGAATCCATCACAACCCAAGGTACCTACCTACCTAGGTAATGTAGGTAGGTACTTTACCCAGGTACCTTCCCTTGCCCGCCTACCTGCCACACACAGTCCGATCATGGTTCCTCCACCACTCAACCTGCGCTTGCTTGTCTCGCCGAACAGAAAACTTAGGCGTCATATTTGCCAGGGTCGTTCCCACCTGTCATCCCTTTGATGCCCAAATTTGGTCTCAGTACTTTGTATGATCGATAGCCGAGTGGCAGACAATACATGCTACCATTCGAATTAAAGGATATGGCGAACATTAGGTACCTTAAGGTACATTAAGATGCCTGTACGCTACCTCTGATCTGAGGAGGTGTGTTTCACAGACCTACGCCCTCAATCATGTACCTACCGAGCCAGTACCTGCCTACATACACATTAAGCTACCTATTCGAGCAGGCGGTGATCATGTTGTGTGCCTGCCCTGCGTATGCCCCGCCATGCTTTCGACTGATGGTCCCAATTGAGGCTGAGCCGACACCCAACACAAGCAAAGACTGCAGCTCGCCAGCCCGTCATGAGTCTCTGTCTTCCACCTCAGTCCACAGTACGGGGCTTGGTGCAGACGCAGTCATCACTACATGTACGTACGTTGTACACGGACCAACCCCAAGATTGCAAGGTCCCCATCGCCGTCTTGTACGGCTGACCGCTGCTTTCTTGCTTTCTTTCCGATCATGGGGCGCTTGGGGCGCGGCGCTACAAACAACTGCGCGCCAGCGTCCTTCGAGTCTGGGGGCGGAAGAGGGGGAATGGTCTGCTCGTCTACTACCTCGCCATTCCGCGAAAGGCAGACGGTTAGAGCAGCTAAGGTTACTTCGTCTTGTGTGCTACGGCCAGCCGGCGCCTGCGCTATGCACATCGCCCCCCAACCTGGCAGGGGTTGGAAATAGCATCCGTGACCCTACAGCACCCTACAGCACCCGCCTCGATAACCTTCCAGAAAGGCGAGGAGCGCCGGATCATCAGCATCCGCCAGTCCTCCCCGCGCCATTCTATTCGTGGCTGGGCGCCCGGGTCGTCTTCTCCAGAGACCGTGCTCGTTCAAACAAGATGCAGGCCAAAGCCGCCGCTTCTGCTCCGCATTCGATTCTCGGGTACCTAGTTGAAAAACGACCGGACATTCCCTCTTCGCCTGGTTGACGAAGAACCGTCAGTACAAAGATGGCTATTCCACAAGGTTGGGCGGAACACCACCCTCGTTGCCGGTTGCGACTTCGATACTTTGCCCCATCGCCCCGTAGTTCCATTTATGGCGCAATATCCAGTCGCCCCCTCATCCCTGTGGCTATCACGAACCCTGGCGCTCAAGTACCGGTTTGTAGAGTGACTAACGGCCAGTGCAATTGTGCCGCCGTTAGCCAAGACCATCTGCACAAGGCTGGCAACCCCTATCATTAATAGCGTCTTTCGTATTCCCAACGTTTGCCCCTCTCTTAAAAGCCCCTCTCCCTGCGCTGACCGTACCAGTGCCAATCGAGGAGTCTTGTCTCATTGCTCACCGTGAGAACCTCCAAGCCTGCACGGGCCCGAGACTACTATGTACGACAGAGTGGACAAGGCCCTCGCCGGCCGTGCCGCTCCATCAATTCTCCTCCCATTGCCCCGACCCCTCCCGGCTGCCATCGGCGGGCAAATGCTATGCAAATAGCGTTCGCGCCCGGACGGGTGCTTTCTTTTCGGGCACGCATACGTCCAGATCACGATCTCGACCTTGTCTTTCCAACGCATCTTTGCACGAGACGTCTCATGCACGCGCCAAGTCCAGCCGTAAACGAGAAACACCCTGCGGTGAGCTACCATCCGGAGCGTTACAATCGGATTGACATTGTACGATCAGAGATGCGTCATGGGCGCCAAGTCGTGTCCGAATAGCTGTGCTCCCTTGGGCCATAAGGCAGTGAGGCAGATAGCCGTCCTGGCGGCGGCTGTAACCCTATCACGACATGACATGAATCTAAGTTTACGAGGGATCGCACGAGGGAGGCATAATCTGGGCACCGCCGCACAGCGCACCTTTAAAACTCCACGTGCTGGCATTCAGATGATCTGCCCTGGACAGAGGGAATGGAAGGAGACGGGTCGCAGGCTGCTGTGAATCTACACAGCAGGTTGCCAGCTGTGACCTAGTTAAGTAGAAGGCGCATTCCAGCTCAGACACATGGGACATAAGACCTGGCATGAGAGAGGCTGGAGCTCGATCCCTTTCCCAGGGCATTCTTGGGGTTGGCTGTCGCGTGGAGGGTTGGTGCGTGCAAGTCGCAAGAGATTCTCTTGATCGACGAGGTTCTGGAGCGGCAAATGATCCTTCCCGAGCATCCACTCAATACCATGATCTCCCTCATCGTCGGCGTCGGTGCCATGATTGCGCGTGTCGGTTGGCAGTGTACATTGGTTGTCGCAAGAAGCTGGGTGCGGGAAGTGACAGGTAGCTGTCGGCAGGGCAACGGGCAGTGCTCGGAAATCGTAGTCGACCCTGGATGGCTTCGATGCACGCCGATCGTACCCATGTATCTTCTTGGACGAGGTGCTTCCATGTTCCGCGGTGCCATGCGAAATGGATGCGCGCTAAGGGAGTGAGATGAAGTCACTTTGAAGTATCTTTGCGTGCTGGCCCTGCGGTGAGAGTACTCCCTCAGCGATGGTGCCACTCCACGTTAGGGGCCTCTCAGGGGGCTCTGCGCCATCGAAGCCAGGACCCCAATGACCCCCGCGTGTTCAATGGACCCAGGCCGGAATGTCCGGATACTTAGCAGGTACCTGAGCCCCCTTAAAGTCTTCCCAGCACTGGCGGACTGGGCGGATTCTCGAGGCTTGCCTCACTACGATGACATCCATACTTGGACATGCATGCCCCTTCGTGGTCAGCTCGACTAGGTAGCCAAGTTTGCTAGCCCCTTTTCCCGTCCATCCACCCATCCATCTCATCCCTCGAGTTGGTTTGACAGCCACCAGCCCGGAGCCTGCTCCCTCGAGTTTCCTCGCCTACCTTATCCCATCGTCCAAGGAAGAGGGTCAGGCAAAGAATTGAATCCCTTTTCGTGGCGAGACGTTGTCTCTTCTTCCTTCGCTTCTTCTTACAGCCCGCTCGCTTTCTGGCCCGTCTCGCAATCACCACCACCTCCGCTCACTCACTCACTCTCGCTCTTTTTTTTTTTTCATTTTCCTTGTGCGACAACGCAAGGTCAAGGACTGGCGTCGCCCACCTCTCTCGTTTCAGTCCGACTGACTGCTCAACGATCGTCTGTCCTCGGTTGTCTGTCATGCCAACACGGGCTACGAGCCATCCGACTCAATCGTCTCGCACTACCCGCACCAAACGAAGGCAGAAAGAAAGACTCGGTCCTCTGTTCCAACCTATTCAGTCGCCGCACACGGCTACCCCAACGGCTTCATCCGTCGCCCGTTTCGCCATTTGACTCTGATCACGCCGCTGTCGTCCCTGACGACGAACTGCATCGCGTCGCGTCGACTTACCCTCGAGTAGGGATCACGGAAACTTCCTGGATCCCCGGATATTGAGACAGGGCGACCGATATTGCACACTTTCTTCTGAGAAAACCGGTTCTCAAAGTGGGTGCACCCGCCCGATCGCCACGCTGTTGCTCTGCCTGCACAGCCTGCTCACTGCACAGACTGTCTGTCCAGCCAGAGAGGACAGGCCTAGTTCAGGTCTGCGGCCACTGAGAGGGCTGCACGGCCACCCGTCTCCCAAGGAACCCCCGCTCAATTAGCAGGGATACATTGCCTGGCCTCAGCCAACGCAACCCACAGATTTTGCCCTGGGGCCTGTGTCCCCCTTCCCCCATAACAACCAAACCCATTGGTGAGTGAGTTCCTTGCTTCCCATTGCTTGCTTGCCTGGCCTGCCCGATCCTGCCTGCCGCCTCTGTGTGCCTACTGCACCGTACCGTACCTTTTGGCCTGGCCATTCTTTCCCAGTCCTGTCAGACATCACAAACATCACCCACGCCGCTACTCTCGTCGTCGTTAGGTGTTACGTTCACTGAGCAATTCCGCGCTCGTTCTCGTTTCCCATCGTCGTACTGTACGGTTCTTTTTTTTTTTTCCTTTCCTTTCCCTCCTCCAAACTCCACATATCCTACCTCGCTCTGAGATTCGCATCCTCTCTCCACGCGTGTCTACGCCACGCTCGCCTCTCCCAGAAGGGTGCAGTCTTTCCCTCCACCAGGCCAGGAGTGAGGAATGCGACAGCGCAGCGCATTCCTGCCATGTCAAAGATGAAACAAGCTGACTCTGTTACTTCCGCAGGACCGGCGCAATGTCTCTTCCCGAGCGACCAGGAGGCATCTCCTCTGAACATCGAAATGCCTACAGGCAATCGCAGTCCCGACGCCATCGCCCAGCAGACATTGAGGCCTCGAGCTATTACCCCGTGGAAGGAGGTCGATCAAGTCGTCATCAACCTGGGCTTTCCGCGAACTCCTTCGCAGAGACGATCCCCTCGCCTAACAATAGCTTCGTAGAGAATATGCCTCTTTCGCCCACCGGAGAGCGGCCTGCCGCGCCCGACCAGCCTTTCCAGCGGAAGAGGAGTTTGATCAGGCCTGAGAGGAACAGAATCGACAAAGACCACCCAAACTACCACTACCGGAAACATGCCGCCAACATGAGCACCATGCCCTCGGCTACCGGAAACGACCCCATCGCCGAGGATATTGAGGCCACGACCGACGTCTCCGGCAGTCGGTCCCAGACGCTCGACGGCGTGTCCGACACGTCACCCCCGCGCGGTCACGGCAGCAGGCCCAACAGCGGCGAACAAGAGAAGAAGGCGCCACGAAGCAGCGCCAAGCGCGTCTCTCGACACAAGTCCGGCAAGATCACTAAGAGTACAAAGAAGCGGAGCACGCCCCAAGAGGTCATCCGGCCGCCCAGTTTCTGGAACGTCTACTGCGCTATCATCACTTTCTGGTGCCCCGACTTTATGCTCAAGTGCTTTGGCATGCGGTCCAGGGCAGAGCAGAGAGCCTGGAGGGAAAAGATGGGCCTGATCAGTCTCATTCTGCTCATCATGGGCTGCGTTGGCTTCATCACTTTCGGCTTCACCGCTGTCGTGTGCGGCTCGCCGCCTTTACGCATGCGGGTCAACAAGGTCTCGGATGGCTACATGATCTTCCACGGCACCGCCTACGATCTGACGAGATCTGGACACCCTCCGGCCGAAGGTATCCCCGTTCCTAGGGGTCAAAGAGGCGCCAACATTCTGTGGGGCATGCCTGGCGTCGACAACCGTGGAAAGGACGGTAGCTTTCTGTTCCAGAACGTCAATGGGCGTTGCAAGGGACTCATCGAGGCGGCCCCCAACTCGGAGGTGCCGACCAATGCCAACGGCGACCTTGCCTGGTACTTCCCTTGCACGACGTTCAACCAGGACGGCAAGAGCGAGCCGAACTTTACGACACCGTACTACACTGGCTACTCGTGCCACACCAGCGAGAAGTCTCGCAACGCCTTCTACATTGATCTGAAGAAGTCTGCTGATGTCTACTTCACCTGGGACGACATCAAGAACAGCTCTCGAAACCTCATCGTCTACTCGGGCAACGTTCTCGACCTCGACCTTCTTCACTGGTTTGACTCAAGGCAGGTTACCATTCCCCAGCGCTTTGAGGAGCTCCGCGACACCAACACTGCTGCCAACAAGGCCTTCCGAGGCCGCGACGTCACTCGCCCCTTCCAGTCCAATGGTGACAAGGAGATTGCCGAGTGCTTTGAAGAGATCATCAAGGTTGGATCCATCGATACGGTCACTGTTGGCTGCATCGCTTCGCGTGTTGTCCTCTACGTCTTCCTCGCCCTGATTTTGTCTGTTGTGGGATCTCGCTTCGTTCTGGCTCTCATCTTCCAGTGGTTTATCAGCCGCAACTATGCCGCTGCCAAGACCTCCCAGTCCAGCGACAAGCGAAAGCGCAACCAGCAGATTGAGGACTGGTCCAACGACATTTACCAGGCTCCCGCAAGGATCACTGGCGACATTGGCAGCAGCGTCGTCACCTCGGACCGCAGCAGTAAGCGTGGCAGCACGTTCATGACAACCTCCCGATTCTCCACTGTCTACGGCCCTGACAGGGGCTCCTCGAATAAGCGCGTACCGACCACGATGGCCAGTTCCGGCGGCAGCGGCAGTCAGCTTCTGCACCCCAACTCGATGTATCGTCAAGGCAACGACAGTCGCAGCAGCTTCCTCCGATCCGACCCATATGCTAGTAACGTTCCTCCTTCGGATGGTCCTGGTCCCGCGGGATTCATCCACGAGGCCGTTGTGCCTCAGCCGCCTGCCGATTGGATGCCTTACGGTTTCCCGCTCGCTCACACCATCTGTCTCGTCACCGCCTACTCTGAAGGCGCCATGGGTATCCGTACCACGTTCGACTCAATCGCCACGACCGACTACCCCAACAGTCACAAGGTCATCATCGCTATTTGCGATGGTATCATCAAAGGTCATGGCGAAGAAATGGCGACCCCGGATTATGTCCTTGCTATGATGAAGGACCAAACGATGGCGCCTGAGGATGTGCAGCCCTTCTCCTACGTTGCGGTTGCCAGTGGCTCGAAGCGTCACAACATGGCCAAGGTCTACTGCGGTTTCTACGACTATGGAGCCAAGTCTGCTATCCCCGTCGACAAGCAGCAGCGAGTCCCCATGATGCTTGTTGTCAAGTGCGGCACCCCTGATGAAGCTACCAAATCGAAGCCTGGCAATCGTGGCAAGCGCGACAGTCAGATCATTCTCATGTCCTTCCTCCAGAAGATCATGTTTGACGAGCGTATGACGGAGCTCGAGTACGAAATGTTCAACGGTCTCTGGAAGGTCACGGGCATATCCCCAGACTTCTACGAGTGTGTTCTCATGGTTGATGCCGATACCAAGGTTTTTCCGGACAGTCTGACGCACATGTTGTCCGCCATGGTCAAGGACCCTGAGATTATGGGTCTCTGTGGTGAGACCAAGATCGCCAACAAGCGTGACAGCTGGGTTTCCGCCATCCAGGTCTTCGAGTACTTCATCTCCCACCACCTCGCCAAATCTTTCGAATCAGTTTTTGGTGGTGTCACCTGTCTGCCTGGTTGTTTCTGCATGTACCGCATCAAGGCGCCCAAGGGGGCTCAAAATTACTGGGTGCCCATCCTCGCCAACCCCGATGTTGTTGAGCACTATTCAGAGAACGTTGTCGACACGCTCCACAAAAAGAACCTCTTGCTCCTTGGCGAGGATCGTTATTTGAGTACTCTCATGTTGCGCACTTTCCCCAAGCGCAAGCAAGTCTTCGTTCCGCAGGCTGTCTGCAAGACAACCGTACCCGATACATTCATGGTCCTGTTGTCCCAGCGTCGCCGATGGATCAACTCGACCATTCATAACCTTATGGAGCTCGTCTTGGTCCGGGATCTCTGCGGCACGTTCTGCTTCAGCATGCAATTTATCGTATTTGTCGAGCTGATGGGAACTCTTGTCCTGCCCGCTGCCATCGCCTTTACCTTCTATGTCGGTATGTTCATTTGCCCTGTCCCTCGCCGGGGTCTTGTGCTAACCATTCTTGTCCAGTCATCAT